CACAAAAACACAGAACAAATACTACCCTGCATACACAGGCATTCAAACACATCAGAAGGGAACAAATCACATTGGCGCATACAGTATGGGTGGAACTGGGATTAGTTTGAAATGATTTCTTGTTAATGAGGTTATTATTTTTTAATGTAGATGCCTTTTTTATAAATGAAGTACTGTTTCAATCGTAGAAACTAGATTTTACAATCATGTTATGATTCCTGTATTTTACATCTAGAAGAGACCACCATGACCACCTGATGTGATCCTCACCGTGACCACCTGATTTGATCCCTTCCTTAATGGAGACTGAAGCACCACTCAGGCTTTAAAACTTCTGGGTCTTCTTTGCTATATGCCAAAGTATGACCGAAAAAGGTACTTAAAATGAAAACAGAAAGAGGAAGAGAGGAATCAAAGGCACTGTTTATTTAAATTTCACAGTAACAAAATTCCTGATGTTTGCAATAGTCCTGCCTTGACCTCTACCTGCACAGCATTATGATACTTTCTTCACTGCTGAGATTGAGGCATATACGGTCGAAGGAATATCATATTTTATTTAAACACACTGCAGAAGGACATTAAATTTTACAGGTCAGATTCTCCATGGTGCTTGAGCAAAACTGGGACTGCAAGGGAAGAGCAAACAGCCAGCTCGCTGCCAAGGTGCAGCTTCCCTTTATCCGCCCGGAATAAACATCCTCAGCCTTGTTATGGCCGCAGAGGTCCCTTAGCCCAACAAACCCTCTCTCCACCTGCATTTTAGAGGGATGACAGCTCACAGGGGCTACGGCACTGCCTCGACCAGCACCATTTTTAATAGACTCAAGTCCCGCGGTGAGACAAAGTCCCGTTGTACCAACAGTCCCAGAAGGGGACGGCAGCTCTGGCAGCCTTTATCAGGTTTTTGACCCCCTTGAGAGCTCCTTTGCACAGACGGAGGTCCCCACCTGCCATTCAGAGGCCCTCTCAAGTCACCCCATGCCTAAACATTGTAATTGTACATAAAGGTACTGCAGCAAGTTTCAGCGAGTCAGCCTCACAGTACGGGTATACAAACCCATGACCATTTACCCTCTCTGGCCACATCATGTTATTCCTGCACCTCACTAGCGGCAACCATTTCAACCGCATGATGCATATATTTCAACCGTAACTATGAACCCAAATATGAAATGAGGTCCTGACTCATCCCACCTAAGGCACCTGAAATGACTACATCCAGAGTAAAGTCTCCCTATTGCACCGCCAGTCAGAACAGACAAGACATCTCCCGTGGACGTTACAGTCCTGAGAACACACCCGACCCCCAGGGCATCTGCGCTTGTATTTTCGACGGCACAGCTATGAGCCTTTGCTGACAGGAGAAGCTCAGCTCTCCCTGCTGCAGGCACAGAAACAACACTGACGCACAGACAGATAAATGCTAGGAAGGCACCAGGAGCAGCTTCATCTTACCTGGGGCAATCTTTCAGCCATATAATGAAATAAAAATCTCTTGGGGACCTTAGAACAAAATGTTTTTAGGTCTAGCAGCCATGCCTCCCTCCCCAGGCTCTATGTGGGCTGCGGGTTTAATCTCATCCTCCTGCAAAGACACCGGCACGAGCAGGGCCACCCTTAACTCCATCAACTGCTCCGCAGCTGCACACTTCAGGCAAAGTGGCATTCAGCCGTGTACGCCTATTAGGGCTCTAATACTGGAAACAGAAGTGGAACAGACAACCAAGGTAATCTAATCTAGCAAGATAATTCACTTTCAGTATTACCCCCCACTCCCCCCCACTGCCCCAAATGAATCAGTGACAAGTGCCCAGCCTTTTCCTAATGGAAAGGGAACTGTATGCCTATTATCTTTACCCTTCACTCCATACAAACTGCAGAGATGTCTGTACCTGATTCTGAGCTTATTGATATCACCGTGAACAGGGACGGCTTGCACAGAAGTAACTGCGTTGCTAGTACTGTAAAGCAGGATGGAGATCTGAATTGGGCACTTGTTACTTAATGCAACTCTCTGAAGTCAGATTTAACTTTCTGGATGTTTTTTCTTGTTGCTGCTGCTGTTGGCTACCAAAAGCGTGAAGTTCAACATGTCAACCCACACAAGAAGAAAGCCTCTCCTCCATTCCCCTCCGTCCCCACCCTGCTTTCTTGCAGGGCGTGTATATAAGATAAACACAAAACAGCTCCTTTAGCTGTAGTGACTTGAGACATAAAAAGCAGGAAAATTCCCCTCACCCCAAGATTTTCTCAGTGAGGTGTCACCTTTTGTCCCTTCTATAGACTACTTTTCAGATCAGATACTTCTTTAAAGTACTCCCTGTCCCTGCCCACAAAGAAGAAGAAAACGTCTTCAGCTATGGAAGTATCTAGGCTCCTTCTGTATCAGGATGTGATATAGAAGATTATTAAATCCTACACATAAGACTGTTCTTCGCTCTGCGAGTCTTCCATTCACTACTTCTTATGTTAAAAGTAAGTCTGTACCTATATATGCGTGCAGTTGTGTAAGCCTGATGGGCAGTTACCTACTCATCCCTCACCTGAAGGGCTGCCAGCACTTCTGTGGAATCAGGTTGGGGAAGTCGACTACACCCGCTCCTTCCCACAAGGGATAACGCACAGTGCCTCACACCTGCCAAGAGACTGAATTCATTCATTTCTAATAATGGCAGGCTTTCACTAGATCTCCTCCGTAATTCTTAATCAGGCATTTGTATGTCGTCTTACCAGTCATGGATGTAGTTGTTTAGCCCTGACTCTGCTGGTTCACCGCCAGCAATCTGCAGGGCAGGCAAGTTGGGAGTGTCTTATATGTTATGAAGTTCCAGGAAAGGGAGGGAAATCTTAGTTGGATTTTGTGCATTTTTAACACACAAATGTTAGTAAATGTAGATAACCCAAACTTCACCTCCCACCCCTTCCTGCTCTACCGAGGGTGGGATGCAGAGCATGACAGCAGTCACCCCACTTACACGCTTTCCACAGCTCCATCTTTCCCACCACTCAGGTTATGCAGCTAAGCTCCCTGTACATCACCCAAGCTCTTTTGGGTCACTAACACGATGTCGTTGATGTCATTGTTGCAACGATCAACCCTGAAGCACAACGCGATGACTGTTTCCCCAACTCACATTCACAGCGCGTTTGTTCCAGTAGGCTTGAAAATGAGGGAATGAGGCAGGCTAGGTTTTCCTGCTCAGTACATTTTTGCTCCAATCTAATTAAAAACATTCAGCAATCCACTGAAGTTCCTTGCAAACTGCGTGCGTCCCATGCTTTAAAATAAGCTCTGAAAGCAAATGGCCTGATATTTTTTTTTTAAATGCACTCTCCAGGCTCCAGATGGAGAGGATTCCTCAGAAATTTCTCTGTGATACTGTACCGAACCTGCTGAACTAGAAAAGTCAAGCTTCTTCCGAACTATCTTGGTTTTGTTGTTATTGTCAATGGCTTTTTTCCTCATCTAAAGGGTAACAAGGAAAGCCACTCTTGGTTCTCTGACATGCAGAGAAGTGACAGTACAGCTCACTGGATAGAGTCAGCTCCGGTCACCTTGGTCTGAAACTGGGTCAGGGATGCTGGCTTGTGGGTATACCCAAGGAATATGCAATTAATGTTGGGGATTCAGACGCTGAGGAACAAGACCACCCTTTTCTTGCAGGCAGAACTGGGGTAATTCAGCTTTAGCACTCAGAGAGGGCAGCCTCCTCACAAATAAAGCATGTTTATGTATGATTTTTTTAAACAGGCCCCATTTCTGGGAAACATGTCTGGGGATCTATACGAACAGCCAAGCCAAGCCCTGCACTGCTGTACTACCTTAATCCAAAGGCAAGCCACCGCTCAGGAGATGGCCACCACAGTGCGTTATGTTGATGCTTGTGGGAGAACGTGCACCAAAGGAAAGTCGATCCAGCTCCAAACAGTGTTAACACCGCTGGAGAAATTCACTGGGAAAGACTACATAGACTTCACGCATTATGCTTGTAACTCCATCCCTGATACTGAAAACAGACCTCTTGCCTGCCGAGAGTCACCCCGACCTGGGGAACTGCCGCAGAGCGTGGTGCACACAAAACGCCTGTGAACACGTCAGAAGGCTCTTGCCATCAAACAAGTGCTAAAGGATCCTCCAGACCAGGTAGTTATCACACCACCAGCCCCCAAATTCAGCCTTTTTCAGGAATTGTCCCTAAATGCCTCAAAAAATGCCTGTCCTCATCTCCATAAGCAGAGTACCCTTAAGCTGTACAGCCGAGAACAAATTTCTTCAGGGTTGTAACAACCAATTAAGGGATGTGAAGCAATTACTTTTATACCCATACAAATGAAACTCCTCCAATGCAATTAACTATCCCTTATCATCTCCTGTTGAATTTGTGGAAAGCATATGCTGTACACTCTCTCCTCCCCTAGCTTTTCCACAATTTTAATCAGTTTGTTTTAGCTAATATAATGGAACCCACCTATTCTAGAGAAATAATACATGGCTGCAAATTATCTGAATATTTTTAAATATCTTTTTTCATTTTAAATATAATTTCATTTGAGATTTTGCAGCTTTCATTTCTATTAATAAATTATCATTTCTTCTTTATAAGTGATGAGCTAGTGTGTCATGTAATTTTTTCCTCTAAATAGACCAAGACTTTGATCTAATGCAAGCCCTTGCTGGGAGTAGAGAGACTTTCTGTCTAATTTAGTTATGAAAAATATTCAATTAAACTTGGGAGTTTAATTCATTTAGTTATGAAAATTAAATGAGCTCAATAAGGTACATTTGATTTGCCTCAGGAAAAAAAAAAAGAAGAGAAGAATCTCTGAAAGGAAAACAAATAAGAAGGGAGAACAAAAGTAACTTTTACTGCTCACATTGAAAGGTGGATAACATGAAGAGCCTGAGTTCTGTTTTGTGTGCCTATATAAAACATATCCACAACGAGTTCATGCAAAATTTATATTCAGAAGCCACATGAATATCTGGTATTAACACCCTAATTGTCTCCTGGGAAACAAAAATCCCTGTAGGTCATAACTGAGTCCATCCCAGTCAAGAGAAGATCTGGCTTCTCACACTGGGAAAACACCCCCACAGAAAACTCTTCTCCATCTCTGTTTGGGGAAAAAGGAAAATATTGGAATTATTTTTCGAAACCAGAACAGAGTAATGTGGATCTCTCCGACAGAAGCACCCTTCTAGTTCTGCAGCTGTCACTTACCATTTTTGCAGATAGGACAGCACTGATCGGGCTCATACACCGGATCCACGCACTCCGTCTGGGGACAAGCTGAGACAGTGCACAGCACTTCACCATTGGCTTCACAGCGACACTTCTCACACGGAGAAACCTGAAACACAAATCCAGTCACTCCTTCGCTTAATGCCCTCCTGAAGTGTGCAATGCCTACCTTCCCATCTGCATTGTTCCTTCCTTCACCTCTTTTTCCTCCCCCCTTTAAAAAAATGCTTTTTGTGGTCTGAATAATGCAGAGTGAAGCAGGTTCTGCTCTGAACCTTTGCCCCAAATGGGAAAGTCAAAGGGATCTTGGGAACAAGAACACTTTAGACTTCTAACACAAATAAAGCAAAAATTTCCCTACCACATTTCTAGTGAACTTCCAGCAAATTAAGCTCATAATTTAGATAAATTTTAATTCTATTAGAGGTTCAAAAAGTAATTTAGCAAAAAATATTGTATTTAAAGAAGAAAAAATTTGCTAAATGAAATATGAAACTTCTTTTAATGGAAATCCTTACTACAATTTTTCCAGGTTTGAAAGCTTTTTGTTAGCAGGAAGCTGTATTTTATTGAAATTGATCATTTTCAAAGAGAAGTCATGGAAAAAACATTCTTTGAATTCAGGTATTTCCCATAGGTTAATTGTATTTGGACCATTCTTGTAATACCTGTAACTTTCTGAAAAGAAATTGCAATTCCAAGAGAGGGGTGAAGCAAAATACAGGTCATCCTTTTTACCTACTGAAATGTTACTGGTTTTGAAGAACTCTACAGAATAGGAGTACCATGAGACAATTACTTGAATGACCTACTTCAATGAAATTAATTCGAAATAAAACAGCGTCAAGGCCCTATTTAGGAAAAAATGGACTTTCAAATGTCTGCATTTCCAGGTAATCACACAAGGAGCTGGACGTAGAGGGAAGCAAGGGTGCTAAAGAGCAATAAATGGTGTACTGTAAATCTCACTGCTGTACTCCAAAAAACCACAGTGGCATCCATGCTCAGAGCACAGGATGAAAATGCAGCTGAATGTTATTACCAGTGACCCTCTAAATCCACAATCTGTGCAGATTCTAGGTTTACTTAAGGATGAGGTAATTTTTTCATAGACCCTTTTTCATTCCAGATTCCAATTAAAGCCAAACAACCACCTGTTGTATTTCTCCAATAAAAGCAGAGTAACCTTAAATCTAAAACAAATTATTCTTTGTGAAGAGTCATCCAGACATCTAACTTGCAGATCATCTGGTTTCTTCCCCCTATTTCTTAGGCAGCCCATGACATTTTTCCGCAAATCCATTCTCTGCTTGCTTACGTCTTTCACATCCTTCTCATTTCCAAAGTTCAAACATGCTGATGCTTGCAAAGCATCATCTCCAACTAAATGCTCATCCATGCTTCGCCACTTCTCTTCCCACCTGCCAGGGCTGTTATTTGCTTATGCACTGACATATCTTTTTACGCCATCCCCTCTGCTTAGAAAGCCTAAATAGGGTCTCTTGCTGTGTTGCTTTCTGCTTTTATTACTATTATTTATTTCAGGCTTCCTTTGCCAGCTACTCATTTCCAGTTTTCTCTTTGCTTTACATTCTACCCAGGATAACACCACACCACACATTTATAAAATGCTACAAGGAGGCTGACAGCCCAATACTGCAGAATTTTATTGCAGACTTTGGGACAAGAACTTTGTCCTGAAATTGTTTATAAACTGCCACGTTCACTTGCAGAGCTGGAGTGTCAGCAGATGAGGGGGTTTCTGACACAGTGTTCAGAGTCAAGAGGCTCAGGTATTCCAGGTAATCACTTGAACTGCATGTGAAATTTTGAGTGTCAGCAAATCTGAGCTCCTAACTATCTGCAAGTCAATAGCAAGAATCCTAACTCTCTGGAGTAACATCCAGAAACAATACTTACTGAGTTATGAAAACATGCTTTTTGGGGAGGATTGATTTTTTTTTTTTTTAATTAATCCGACTTGATGAACGCTATTAGAACTCCATTCCAAGGATCAGGCTCAACAAGGCAAACCTATAGTTTTCATTTGGTTTCAACATTTTTTGCCATCACTTGAAAAAGATGCAAATTTGCCAATGACCAGAGTTCAACAAGACCAGTAACTACAACAACAGATATTCCCTCTCCCAGGACTCCACTTAGTAGATGTGCCATTCAATATTAGAAGTGGTGTACAAACTGGAGTATCTGATGATAATCAGGAAACAAGACAGCACACAGATGTTATTTCTAAAATCTCTCATCTGTAAAATTTAAACATATTCTAATTAAGTAGGTTGTTTACTAGAATTCCAAATTTGACAGAAGCCTAAAATTCCTAGAACAAGAAGCCATTTAATGAAGCATTGAAAATACTATTGAATGAGAAACAAAATTGATCTAATCTTTATCTAATAATGATAATTCAGAATAATGCATTTCCATCCTATACAGCACAGACACTTGAAGACCACATCTTTCATGAACGGAGTACACTGTTAATGTGATACTGCAGTCATGAATACCCTTCCTGTGTAAGAGATCACGGGATTTCAGGGGAATAACTACAGTACACCTTTAAGAAGTACTGTCGTCTGTACAACCCACCAATATGAGTAATGGTAGCAGAGTTAAGGAAGGTCTCCATGTGCTTATTTCTAGAAAGCTCTTTTCAGGCATGTAAGTGAACCACAGTGGCTGCTAAAATGGTATTAGTGTCAACCTTTACCTGTTCATCTTTGGACTAAATGGTAGCATATTGCTTTTTATATATCATCAGGATGTAGCAGGAACTGTAGAAAAACCCCACTTCTTTCCGCATCTTAATGGCAGCTTAATACTTGGAGACATAATCATCACTAGAGAAGAGACAATAAGACGCTGTGTACATAGAACAACAGCTAAATAAATCAAACTGAAAAGACACATTTGGTCCTTCATTTCCTCTCCTCTACTCCTATAACGTAAGCGCATTACCTGCAGCGCAGTTCCTAGTGGCAGCCAACGCAACAAGCGTCCCACTTGTTCACCTGGGAAACGACCAGCCCAGCAGCACTCGTGCTTAGCACATCTGGCAAAACCGGGCTGGGCTGGAAATAATACAACCTATGAACCTCTCTCTGAAGACTAATGATACCACATTTATCATGATCTACAGATGAAGCTATTAACTCTACAGCAGCAGTAGTTCTGCCCATGCAAAAACTGCGGGAAGACGACGAGAGGCACAGAAGTCTTAACTATTCACCAGGCAGCCGTAAAACCTGTAGAGAATAGAGTACAGACGGCAAAAAACCAAAAAACCACCTTCTTTAGAATTGTTTCAAGGGAAGCTTATGAGCAGATGTATAAATGGAGTTGCAGATATTGTAAAAAAGCAAACACACCATTGTGTAAACAGGTAGATTTCCCACTAGTGGGGCATGAAGAAAACTGTAGCTTAGTAGGGGTAGTAGGTTTATCCAGCAACTTAGTGTAAATTGTCATAGTTAAGAAGTGACAAATCATTTGCACTCATTGAAGTTCTGGTCAAAAGTAATTCGAGCTTTCTCTTCCCCCTTTCCACATGCCAAACTTTAATAAAAAAACAAAACAAACCAAAACCAAACCAACAAAAAATCTGAATTAAAAAAATAATAATCTACATTTGGTTCCCCGAGCCTTGAAAACAACTAAGTTTAAAAAAAACATGAATCATAATCCCAAACTGATTTGCTCTTGTGCTGGAACTTTTATTAGCATTTTCTTGCCACTTACACAGCTCAGGAGAACATGAATGGGGTTAGGCTGACAGGAGTAAACATATCAGCCTTGTTTTTACTTCTCTATGTCTTCAAAATACTACAGATGTTTCAAAATCCATTTGGGCTTGTTGACTTCCAGATTTCCAAGTTATTCACAAATAAACACAAATTTTGGTAGCAGAAAAATTCTAAACAAAACACACGAACCAACAACTTTCAAAAAATGTAGGTCCTTCCCAAACCATATTACCCCCCTGAAGAGAACTTACGGTCCTTGTAAGGCTATTACTTTGTAAGTCAGCCTCCATTTTCAAATCTTACTGTAAGATTGAAAAACATCTAGTGGAGCGCATGCTCAGCCGTCTCCAGCTCCAGTGCAGAATTTTATCCTCATTGCATTTCACTAACTAAGGCTTCTGCTCCCGGTTCCACTCGTATGGATGCTGTCATCCCTTCGCCATCCTGCCTCACGATACTCTCAGGAGAGCAGAGTGGTGCTGATGGAAACAGCTTTATGAGACCGCACCCTTCCCCCACACCCGTGTTGTGGTTTGTGTCAACATCCATGTCCTTTTTGAAAAGAGAAAACCGTGTGCATACACATACACAAGCCAAGCCTGCAGGAAGGACTGTGAATCAAAGAAGTAGTGCATCAAACCTCCCATTCCCTGGCACACTCAGCTTCCGAGTTAGCACTGCCTCCGGTCAGGGCAATTTTTTGCCATGCCAAGCCATATATGAATTTTATATAAGCAAACTCCCAAACTTGCATACATATTTACACATCTATACATAAATGTTTGTGCAGATAACATCACTTAAAAGTTAGGAGGTCACCTTTCTCTTCCTTCAGTGATACCTGGTACTCTTTGCCATAAAAAGTAGGTGCAAGCAGAGAAAAATCAGATCGCTATCCATTTACAACTCGTTCCTTAATCAAGAGATAGCATATTAGTAACCTCTCTAAGACCATCAACTTTAAACTTGTAAAATGGCCTTTGAAACCGTGTGCAATTACTTGCATTTGCAATTGCTTTGACTGAGCAGCAGCAATCTGACTACATCTGTACCTTACCTCGCCAGACATCTCCACTGATTGCAGTGCCATGGGCAAACTGCTACATTTCTAGTTTCGTGCTCACAATATTGGAACCAACGTTGAAGCCCAACTAAAAACCAATGTCCTCACACGTCAAAATAAACGGGCTGCAGTTCCACTGTCTAACTGCATCGGTAACTTTCCTTGCATATCCTGAGCAGGCATCCCTTCTCACTCGTGTTTCCAAAGCTGGCCAACAGAAAGCAGTAAGGGAACCGATGTTTCATTACAGGAAGGTATCAACACAAGGGCTGAAGGCTGAATGGGGTTAAAAAGAAAGCTGAAAGCCAAAGTCTTTTTCAGAACATTTCTGTAAATGTCACTGTTCAGCACTCCCCAAGGCTGCCAGCACGTTCAAATGAAACAGGGAGCACCACAGTTTTACCCTCTCACTACATGCTTAACACAATAAGGTATTTTAGGCTTGCTTTACAGCCATTAATACGACACCACTATACAAAGACAAAGAAAAGCAACTTATTAGAAGAGTGTGGGGGAGAAGCCTTTAAAACTTTGATACGGAGACCTACAGAGACCGTGTCCAGAAGCATCACTGTTTTGGCCACCCCTCAGAATTAACTTCTCTGGAAAAGGAAGGATCTCACAATCCATCTCCAAAAAGGTCATACCAACTAGCTGCTATTAAAAGTACCTTCTCCCTCTTAAAATAGAAAGCTGCCACCCCAAAGCTGAATGCAATCCTTGAGGGTGACATAGAAAAAGGGAGGATGATATGATGCTTTCTGCCACGCTTTGAAAAATCACTGATGGTCTGCACATTACTGCCTAAAGAGAACAAGGGGAAACACTGTGATTTATTCCAGAGAGAGTAATTCTGCTCCTTTATTTATTTGTTTGAATCGAAGTTAAGTTTCCAAGAACACACAAATACCACAGGGAGCAGAGTGGCAACTTATTTACAGCCTTCACAAATACATTTTCTTTTTCTCCATCCTGCCAGGGGTTGAGCTGCCAGAACCCTGAACTGGATTTCGTACTCCCCTCAACATACTCAGCTCAAAAATCTCTGGTGTGTTCAGAAGCAGGTTTTGAACCAGCCCTATCCTTAACAGTCATTCGCAAGCAAATTCTTAGAGCCTGCTCACAGATCTCAGCCACAATAAAATACTGAAGAGAAAAAGGCAAGGTAAGCAACCAGGGAATTGGCCTCAACTCCAAAACTTTTCAGCGCACTGTAGTAAGTTGCATTTTCAACGATAACGACCTTGCACAGTGGTGCTAAAAAGGCCCTACTCTAAAAGGATTTCCCTAAACATAAAGCTTTTCAAGTCCGTTGTTTAGGTATCACTGTAATTCAGACTGCAAACCATGGTCTTTTTAAAAAGAAGGCCCATAGTCATTCTCAGAAAGCAAACATTACGCAACCTTGGCAGCACAGTTTAAACAGCAAAAAAGGAAAAGAGAAATGACTGTTAGGAGAAAGGTATCATCACAGATGGATTACTGGGAACAGAAGTCAGCCCACAAAACCCTGCTTGATCCCTGCAAGGTAGAAATTTCACAGTTAACAGTTAAATAAGGAAGCAAATGTAATGCTGGAAATTCTCATAAAATCCACATCACCACCCAGGTAACATCCCTTCAAGTAGCGGTTTTTACTGTAAATACCAAAGGAATTAATAAAGATCAGCCCCCTCATTTAAAAATGTTACAGTATCGTAGAGCAAGAAAGGTCATGTTTAAGGGGAGTATTTCACAGCACGGCAGAAGTAGTATTAACAGAGAAATGAAAAGGGGAGGGGGAGACCCAGAACGCCCTCCGAGAAAGCCCTTGAAGAACATAATGCCCCTTTAAATGACAGAAGGACCCACGAAATGACTTTTGGCTTCAGCCCTTACCATGAACTCCTCTAGGGTCTGGTAGGTTTTCCCTCGAAACTCGCAGTAGTTCTTCCTCTCCTTGCACTGCGGGCAGCACTGCGTGGTGTCCACATGGACGCACCGAGGGTGGAGCCTGGGGCACTCGGGCTGTATGCACAGCGGGCCCTCTTCGGTGCAGAGGCAGGGGCAGGCAGAGGGGCCCGGCGCAAACTTCTCCCCGATGGCATAGACGAAGCCGCTCTCGTCCACGCAGCCTTTCCCGCGGTAGTCCGGGTAGGCGTACTCCTCCGGAGGCTCGGGAGTGACGCTCGCAACAGCTTCTGGGAGAGACGAATCTTCAGCCACCCGAGGCTCCTCGGGAGCGGCGTCCCTTTGCTCTTGCACTTGAATGCTCCCGGATTTACTGCTCGTCCCCTGGCTGTTCCAAGCCTGCTTTTGCTTAGTCCAAGACTCCTTGTTCGAGTAGTTCCTGTTTCCTTTGCTCTTCCAGTCCCTGCTACCCTCCTCCCTCCCGCTCCTGCCGATCTCATTCATTTTTCCCGGGCCTGTCTGGCTGTCTCTTGTAGATGTGTGATCCCTCTTTTCCTGGCTCGCCTTTATCTCCTGTTTGTCTTGAGCCTTGGCCAGTTTTTGTACAGGTATGGTGGAGCTACAGAGGGCAACCATGAGGCAGCAGGTTACAAGAAGAGAACTAGAGAGAGCTCCAATTGCCATTGCAGTAGAGCTGGGCATCACCTACTGCATCCCACAGGGGACACTGCGTTCACATCGGAGGGAAGTGCTTCACGGATCCACAGTTCCTAGGAAGAGAAGGATTAGAAACACTTCAGCTTCTGCACTTCTCCCCCCCCACCCCCGCCTCCACCGATGCAACATCTCAAACAATATGCAACCTGTCTCGGTAGTTTATGCAAAAGGCAAACAACAGCCTGGTGCTGCATCCCTCCTCCTCCTCCTTCTCCTCCTCCTCCCCCGCTCTGCCAAGTCTTATAAATAGCAGGGCTTTGGACACGGACCGGGCATCTTTGGCTCCGTGAGAGCACCATGCAGAACTCCGAGGAGTTAGGATTTGCAAAGGCAGGTGCATGCAAAAATCAGAACATTTGGGGGTTATTTTTCCTTTCAAATGACAACCCGTGAAGAGGACGGACGCACGCTGAATTAAATGGAGCTCCCCAAAACACAGCAGAGTCCGGAACAGAAATCACCCGACTGAGTCCTATTCGCTGACTGCATGCACGATGATTTTCATTAACCTCTTATTCAGTCTGAAGTGTGCTGTTGTTTTTTGGTTGTGGTTTGTTTTGGTTTTTTTTTAAATACCCACCAGTGAGCACATTTCTGTTAAAGACAACTGAAAACAAGCACATTAAAGCGAGCAGAGCCAAACTACCTCTCTTCCGAACTACCTAAACAAGCACACGCCACCTCCTTCTCCCCCTCTTTCAATGGCAAAGCAGAGCCGTTAAGAGTTTCCGCAGCAGAGGCTCATTTAACCCACATCCTCCAGGAGTTCGGCAACACTCCCGCCTCCTGTCCTTAAAAC